CTACCTTCTCTCTGAGTTAATATCTCTTCACGTGGTTAGGACATATTACTTTGCAAGTGATGTTCGCGATGCCAAGAAAAAGTGTCCGGCTCGGTGGTGTGTCCGGCTCGGTGGTGCTTTACGTTATCGTTAATGACATAGTAGTTGTTCAAACTACGGATTCAAAAGGCACGAAAAAGATTGAGGAACGCATCGGATATTTTCATTTCAAACGTATCAAAAAAAAGAACCGTATGTGCTTTATCGTAAACACTGCCATGTAGCCGTACACCCGGAAGAAGAAGAAGAAGAAGAAGAAGAAGAAGAATCAAAGATAAACGACAAAAAAAGGAAAGAAAAGAAGAGCAAATTGCCGCCCAAACCTGACCCTTATTGGGCAAACAGGCAACCTAAACGCCTATACCGATTTCCCATTCGTTCCATCCAATCCTCTACAATCTCTTCCATTTTCCCCCTCCCCAACAAATCTCCAACCAACAAAATCAACATACACAAAAACTTCCCTCCCCTCTCTTCTTTCCCCGTACTCCCCTACCGTACAGACTCGAGTTTGATACGCTTAGCGCCATGAGCAAACTACGTCGCAGACACAAGCGGCAAACTCTGTCTCTTGCGCTGCTGTCCCCTATTCGATGCATTGCCCGCTGTACGCATCATATTTGGAGAGATTTTAGCAGAAGAAGAAGAGGAAACGGGTAGGGACTTGAGTGGGGGCGTAGGAACGTCAGCGTCAGCTTCAGATTCGTAGTCCGAAGTGAGTTGGGTTGAAGGGGCGTCTTCAGAATCCGCGTCGCTGGCTTCTGTTTCGGGGTCGAGGTGGGGCGGTGATGATGATGTTGGTTTTGTTGGGGTGGTTGTGGCAACGCTAGATGGGGAGGATGGTGTCTCGTCTGCGGGTGCTTGTGTGGTGGGTATGGAGAGTTGAGGCGGCTGCGGTTTGGTAGCTAACTTGGTTGGGAGAAGATCGTCGTCGTCGTCGCTTGGGAGAGCAATGGCAGTGGCTTCTACGTTTGGAGAGGCTTGTGCGTATGCTGCGGTATCGACTGGTGGTAAGGGAGCATCCTCTGCTACCGTGACGTTCTCCGTGGCGGAATGAGATGGGACAGGCGTTGATTCATCAATGCGCTCGTAGAAGAGCATGAAGACATTTCCTTGATGCGCCTCTTCTTCAGAGACAGGGTAGACACTGTCATCGCTGAAGCGCCACCATTGTTCCGACGGGGATGCAGCAGCTTCGTCCTGCGCCTCTTCTTGTTCCTTTTCATCCTCAAGCTCCTTGTCATCTGTCGATGAGGCATCAGCCTCCTCGTTCTCGGTTGGCTTGGAGATAGTCTTTGGGTGTGACCGGTAGCACACATAATGTCCGTTACCATGCGAGCCGTAGTGTGTGACAGCAGCCCGCAACCGGTATTGAAAAGGGGAATCGAATATGGGCTTGCCCCTTGGTAACATGGACTCTCTAGGATCTTTTGGCCACTCTTCTTCAGACGTGGCAGGCTTTTCAGAGCCTTTCGGTGCACCGCCTAAGCACCAATTGCCCAGGTCCAGAACACTTGGGTATGACACACCAGCAGTGTTCTTGAACGGCATACCAGTATACTCATTGAAGCTGCTACGGTTGACGTGAAGTACCAATGCCTGGGGTGCTCGCGCGACAACTGCCTGTTTCGATTTGGTACTCTGCACCCAGTTCTTCTTGGGCACATTCAAAGTCTTGAGTAGTGTTTTGTCTTCAAAGTCCTCCTTTTCCAAAGCCTCCTGCACGGCGTCGAGTCTTGCCTTCAATGGCGATTCTGGCTTCTTAGACACAAGAGGAGTTAGAGTCTTCTGTAGCTTAAGTAATGTGCACTTTGCGCACTCGACACCGTCGATGAACTCTAAATTCGTATATTCGTCAAGACATTCGCGGATATCGTAATCGTGGTTCTTTCCCAGAGAGACGGTGATGCAGTTGAAGGGGATAAGTGTGAGACCTTCAGAGTAGCCGCAGGATGTGCAACCGACGCGCTGTGCGAGGCGGCCCTCAAGAGGATTTGCGGGAGCCTGTACGGCTGGCTTCTCTGAATCGCCCTTCTCTCCTTCCTGTGTCTTTTCATCTGTATTTGGTGAGTCACTGAGAATCTTTGTGACTTCCAGCCAGGAGACCGAGGATCGCCTCTTACTGCTCGCGGTCTTCTTGACCTCTTCATCTAGCGCATCCAATATCTTGCTATAATACTCTTGCGCATCTTGCTGTTCAAACGTACTCATCGACTTGAGCTTGCCGCGTATCCAGAAATGTTGCCCCTTGTTCTCTGGATCGTTGAGTTTTGTGATTATCTCGAACAGCGCGCCGTTGGTGCTTTCTGGTGAGAGCGAGGGATGCTCGGATGTGGTTTTGGCGAGATGGTCGCGCAGCGAAGGAAGCGAAGCAAGGCCTTGGATGACACTGTTCTGGTAACAAGAGTTGCTGATGTTGCCCAAGCCAGGCGGGACATCACCGGAACCCATGGAAAGAGCGCTCGCGACGCCTCTGACGCCTTTTGAGAGTAAGTTCCCGGGGCTCATGCCAAAGAGGCTACCAAACATGCCTCCACCCTGCGCCGCTGCGTCGCCGGATTCCGATCCAGACGCGGAGCCGATCGAAGACGCCCGTGAGCGCAAAACGTTGGTAGCCATCCTGAGAAACCGGCGTACGTAGAAACCGACAGGAAAGCCTAGATAGTCGAGAGTTCTGAGGAGAAAGTATGCACCTATGATAGTGCCCAGGAAAATGGATGTGGTAGTGGAATGCGAGTCGGATGTGTTCCAGCGCTGTTGATAGGCGTCAAGTTCGGGGTATTCGCCGTAGCTCATAGCTCGTAGGGGGGCTGTTGTAGAAAAAATAAAGCTGAAACGTGCAAGAGACCACGACGCTGTTTTTTGTGTTGGAAGAAAAAAGCGGGTGGGCGAACGGGAGCGAAGGTTGGTGAATGATGATAAATCAGTGAAGGCGCAAAGTGGGAAAGGGTTCCAGTCTTTCAGCCCTCAGGCCAGCGCATGGACGGTGTCGAACAGAGCAAACGCGGTGGTGTGTTTGTCTGCGACATGAGAGAGACGAGCGTACGCGGACGACGGTCGAAGGGCGATGGGCGGCAGCGGTGGGTGGCGGAGGGTTGGCGTGAATGTTCGCAGGGCAAGGGCTTTGCGGCTACTGAAGAAGGTGCGGACATGCAACTAGCGGCCGAAGTGGATCCGGAATTTCGGTCCTCGAACGAGCTAGTGGGGGAACTTTTGTAGATTTGCGACTTCCGATTTCACGACATTTCAAAACACATGTTGTAAATCTTTTCGCGTGGGACTCGAAAGTAATAAATTTTCTTCGATCACCCATATAGACCAAGATAGGTCGAGTACTTTTGTGAAACAAAAGAAAAAAAGAAGATTACCACATCAAACAACTCCCGCGCAATCGCCGCAACAAAAAAAAACCCCCAACATACACAATGGCCAAAACCGCAAAAGTCAAGAAGCGCCGTTAGTCCTCCCAACACCCATCCTTAAATTACCACTAACCTCTCAAACAGAAGTCACAATCCACTCCCGCGCCGCCCGCCGCGCAACCTCCCCCTCCCTCTCCCTCCCCCTCTCTGCCCAACCACCCACCCACACAACCCGAGACTCAACCTCGCCCTCGCGCCCCTCCACCCTAAACCCACACGCCCTCGCCGCCAAAGACGCCGGCATCCAAAAGCGCCAGAAAAAAACCTCAAACATGACGCGTGCGCAGCGGCTGCGCCACCAAAAGGGACTTGAACGTGCGGAGGAGAATATGGATAAATTGGCGAGTAAGCGGTTGAAGAGTCTCGGTAAGGGCAGGAAGGTGACGGAGAGGGCGAAGGGGTGGGAGGATATTAATGGGGAGGGGGGCAAGAAGGGGAGGAAGAGTGTAGTGGGGGATGGGGATGTGGAGGCGAAGAGGGGGGAGAGGGAGTGGGGTGGGGATGAGGATATGGATGAGGCGGGTGATACCAAGGACGTGGATGTTGCGACAGCGCAGAGTGCAGCGGTACCTGAGGAGGTGGATGAGATGTTGTAAGCGGCTTTTTTTTTGGGGGGGGGGGGGAAGTCAACGTTATGATGACAAAAAAGTACGATACCCAGAAAGGAAATGAATACATGTGTTGCTCCTTTTTTTTTCTTGTTCTTATTCTTCACATACATATTGTACAACCGGCATTCTCGTTCTCCAGGGTAATCAACCAACTATCTCTCCTTGTTTTGAAGCAATATTCAAATACACTAAACAACCCCCTAACTTTTATACACAAACCAAACCACTGCGCCAATTGAATATATCCACAAATACCCCCCCAAAAAAACATACCCTTTACCTCCCACGTCTCCCCCACCTATTCTCAAACCGATTATCCGCCTCAACAGCCGCAGTAATTTGATTCTTATACGAATGATACAACTCGCGAATCTGGCCCTTATCCTCCATACGTTTCACAATCTTAGCCGCAGCCTTAGCTCTCTTGCGATCGCTCCAGCCCTCCCTCTTTACTAACTTCTTCTCTGTGAAATGACCCTCTGCTTTGAGGTAATCTTTAACCCACTGGTAGAGATGGTAGCGCCAGTGGTACAAAGTGTGTGCGACTTGGGCGTTGGCTTTGCAGGTTGAGCCGACGGGGAAGCGGTGAGATTCTGGGGGGATACGCTCTTTTTGGTAGTTGTAGGTTGGTTTTCCACCGTTGGGGAGGGTTTCCGAGTCGGAGGAGAGGGCAGAGGAGGTGGAGGAATCGGAGTCAGAGTCAGAGTCGGAGTCGGAGTTGGAGGAGAGGGGTTCGAGGGTGTCTGGGTTGTACGGCGCGCCTTGGAAGAGGAGCTCGGAGCTTGCGGTGTGGTTGGTGCGGTTGCAGGCTTCGCAGTGGGGAGACATTGCGGCTCTTTCGCTGGCGCTGAGGTCGTTAATCATCAGGTCTGGTCGTGCGCGGATAGCGCGCGTAAAGTCGGAAGTCCAGGCTGCTGATGTGTACTTTGATCCTGCGAGGCCTTTGACTTCGTCATCAAGTTTCCGGAAAGTCACCGTATAGATGTTTTTAGTTGACTCGAAACCGGGGTGGATCTTTTTCATGACCATCCACTCGACGGCATGTCTGAACAGGTCCTTTGTCTTTGCTCGAGAGAGGCTCAAGGTTAGTCGCAGCTCGTCCAAGTCGTCATTTGCTGCGGGTTCTCCAATAATATTCTCTGTATCGTCGATAAATTGCTCATCGTCTTGGTCTTCTTGAAACATATCAAAGGCATTGGTCTCCTGCTCATCCTCGCTGTCGTCTTGGTCCGAGGCCTCTACGTCGCTATCCTCCTCCTCCTCCTTGATAATCTCAAGTTCTGAATCGGAGTCGGAGTCGGAATCTATGACAACTGTCTTTCGCCGCACAGGTGTTGCTGAAGACGAAGCCTCGGTTGTGCCAGCCCTTCGTCTCTTCAGGGCTTCCAGAGCTTCTTGTCGCTTGTTCTTTAGCGTTGTGCTTGTTGACCTACGACTGTCTGCAACTGGAGATGATCGTAGAAATGCAAGGTCTTCTTTGAGTTCTTCTTGCTCTTCGTTATCCCCCGTATCATCAGCACAGTCCGACTCTTCCATATCTGAGGCAGAGTCTTTGTTGGCTCCGTGTGTCTCATCTTCGTCTTCGTCCTCATCATCATCAGACGCGGGTCTTCGTCTCTTAAGCTTGCGCCTGACACTGCGAGGCGGGGTATGCTCGTTTTGTTCCTCCTCTTCTTCCTCTTCCTCTTCGTTTGGAGTAGAAGCCTTTCTAGCAACCCCTCTTCGAGCGCTGCGTGGTGCAGGTTCCGACTTGGCTTGCTTCTTCTTTTTCTTTCTCTTCCTGTCTTCTTCTGAGCTCTCGATTTCAACTTTGATACCGTACCGTTGACGTTTGCGTGGTATCACTACAACAGTTGCCTCGCCTTCAGATTCGCTTGATGTCGCCTCACGTCGCCGCTTTTTAGACTTTGACTTGGGCTGCTTCTCAACTGGCTGCTCCTCTTCTGAGCTTGAGGAGCCATTTGCATGATTGTTTCGATCATTGAACATGCCTATGCGCAAGCCTCTCTCTGTCTCTTGTGCCAACTCATCTTCGCTTGTTGAATCCTGACATGTCTTCTTCGATGCCCGACTGGCGCTACCTTTTGTCGGCTTTTGTGGCTTCTGGGACGCGCCAGCCATGGGTGTTGCGGAGGATCTAGTTGCACGCGATGTTTGGGAAGCAGGCGAGAAATTGATTTTGGTCTGCCGCTTGTTGTCCCGAGCTTTCTTGCGCGCCATCCTGAACAGAACCTTTTGAATTTATTTTACTGCTTGTCCCTCACCGTTGACTCGCAGATTCTGCTGTGCGCGTCGCTGTCGCGTTAAGTATGCGCGTTGCGCAAACAGTGCTACAGTGCTGGAAACTTTGTGACTTTCTTCGAATGATCTGCAGCTTGTGTAGATTTAGATGTACATTTTCGGTTGCTCTGGATAGCAATTAGATGTGCAAGGAGGCACAGTGCGATTCTTCGATGAGTGGGGCGAAAGTGTGTAGAAGGATTGCAAGGGTCCAGCGAGGCGCGCGAGCACGTGCAGCAACGTCATCATCCACAAACACTCAGTCACGTTATTTTTCTCATAGACCGCCATCTTTGCTGTTACAATATTTTCTCTGTACATGTGTGTCATGGTTGTTGTCTGAGATCTCGATTGCCAACAGAAAAGAGATAGGGTTTGGCACTAGAGGTATGCACCTTCTGCTTTGTTGCAAGTGCAAGCATCTAATATCTAGACGGGCCTTTGTCGTTTGCTGCTTTTTGTACATCTGCACGGCGCAAATAGTCTGTGTAAGATTTCCTAAACGATGGATGCCGATATCAATTACGATCTCACCGCAGTTAGAACATATTACCGCAGAGAATATGGTGCCACTCTGGGACGCGTCGATGTCCAAAAATGGTCGCATTAAACAGTGCTGAAAGGTGGAACTTGGTAAGCTCACAGTTAGATTCCACAGACATCCCAGCAGTGGTTTGCCAAACAGACCTTAGAAATAGGAGAGCAAATGAACGAGAGGACAGGATTGGCCAGATGACATGGTCTACGCAATGTACACGGATTACTCGATCGCCGATGCGGCAGCTTCCGTGCAAGGCGCATAGAAATTCAATTTGGAATGCAAGCTAGTAGGGCGAGTCTTACCAGAAGTCGGTATGGTAAGCGGTAAGGGCCGACACTACTACTGAGCTGTTCACGGTACCTGGGCACCATCTGCATTGAGTAGTAAAGAGACTAGAAAGATTATAGGGCGCCATGTGACTCGGGGAATTATATGCATATGTAACGGAGTATACAACAGTAGTCGCCGAATACATTGTAACAGCCTCTCGGTCGATCGGGAAAGCCGGAAACAAAATTGCCTAACACCAACGGTATGAAGCCCGCTTAGAAACACTGCTCCTGCTGCAGCACGACTGATATTATTTTAGTTATTATACGCGTAGGTATAGTACTTATAGAGTAAGCGCGATCACTGGCTCTAATTTTCTCTTAAATAATATTATGGTGCTGCTGATATCCTGTTGTGAAGATTGGTCGTTTTGGTGGACTAGCCCGCTTGGCCTGGGTTTTCCGGCTTTATCGATCGACCGAGAGACAGCTTCGGAAGGAATCAAGTTCTAGGCATTCGTGGCCAACACACGGTCGGTGTTGAAGCTTTGTCGCATACTGGAGCGCATCTATAGGCGCATATCAGGCAAGGTGAAACATGGTGCTCTCAAAGTCAGAATGCGGTGGTTAAACAAGGAATGGAAGATGAGGGGGATAGTAAGGTTTCGGAGGTCAGAGAGAAATCGCACGCTCGTAGGTTGACGGCAGCACACTCGGCTTGAACAAGTAGTATGCAAGCATCGTCTTATAAATCTTGGCTCTGGCAGTGGGATCTTGTTGTGAGTGTTGTTGCAGGGGTATAAGAGAAAGAATATGTGTGTACGTGTGAGGGAGTGAGAGAGGCGGTTTGCATGTTTGCGTCTGTGCGCAAGCCAAGTCGCAGGTTCTCGCGCGGAAAGAAGGAGCGACTGTCAAGTCGAAGCACGCCATGCCATGATGCATGAGTAAAACCTGCTAGTAAGCGCACGGACGTGAAGATGGAATGCGCCGGCTGCCTTTAGCAGTGGCAGCCAGCGTCTTGTAATGCTGTCGAATGCTGGGACACAGCCTGCAGTGGCACATGGCCTGGCAGTGACATGGCAGCCTCCGTCGTTTCTGCCAATCTGTCTGCGCTGGGCTGTGGCTGCGGCGTGGGTGAAAAAAGCTGGGGGGTGCGCGTGGTATTGTGGGCACAGGCATAGGCAGGCTATGCTGAAAAGAATCGAGGCGAGGCCCGATTGTGTGCGATGCCGCTCAGCCTACCCGAAGCCGCTCATTCGGCGCGACACGGAGGCAGTAGGAAAGGCCCTTGACCTTGCCCTTGCCTTTTGACCTCGCCATCGCCATCGCCATTGCCATCGCCATCGCCATCGCCAGTGCCGTCGCCAGTGCCGTCGCCCGCGCGTTCCGAGGCTGACTGAGTGATTGTGTTCGGGAGAGAGTCGAGGGTCAAGGGGAGGGGCCCCAGGAGCGCCAGAGGCCCCAACCAGGAGCGTTAGACGGACAGAGTTTGATGTTGTCCAGCAACGCGCTCGTGCGACGTTTTAGGGCTGGGATGAGGCTCGATGGGCAAGGACAGCGACGGGGAAGCGAGGCCCAGCGACTGGGGGGGCCCACGGTGGAAAGGGCTGCCGGCGCTGTTTCTGCAATGGGTTGGCCGGGCGCTGCAGGGATGGGACCAATCACGGCCGAGATGAGACAAGCTGGAACGGCAGGTGCCACCAGGCCGCCGGCGTGCCCTCAAGCTTCGCCCAGCCCACTCCCACTTGGCCTCGACGCTTAACCCACAACCGCGACGCTCGACTCTCGAACCCACCTCCTCCACAACCCCGTACATCCGATGCCGCTCGCCTGAACATCCATGGGACTCCTCCATCCGTCACCAACTGCTGCTGGACCAGTATAGCCCCCCGATCGAGCATGTGGGAGGCCGACTCGTGGCCTGCCGCCTCTCGTCTCCTGGACAGTCGCGCGCCCGATGCCACGACGCCCTATGTAAGCCCTCTGCTGTCCGCCGCGACACGCCTCGACCAACGCGACTAACTGCCACGCCTAGCACTGTCCCTCGTACAAACTGCCTGCCCATGGTACCATTGAGATTTCGCCCGGCAACACAATCGTCCTCGCCGAAAGCGCCCTCTTCCGTCCCCTTTGCTCCAACACGCCCGGCAACTCCAACTCCATCGAAGATGGCACCGGCGGCGTCACCAGCATCGCCGATATGCGCGACCCCTTCCACGCCTCCATCACCCCTCAGGCCTATGCCACGGGCGCTGCCACCGTTATCGCTTGGATGCTCGTAATCATGCTCATCATCACGCCGCGCACCTTCTTCGTCGGCAATGCCTCTGGACGGTCAGGCCTCATGGGACGCCGCGGCATGATTAGCGGTGCTTCAGGAGGAGGTTCCATCATCGGCGTGGGCAGCCGCCCATGGCTGCAAAAGGCCGCAGCCCTGACTGTCGCCATTTCGCTTACCCTCGCCACTGCCGACACATTCAAGATTGCCGAGCGCCAGTACGAGGACGGTTTCATCGATGCCATGGAGCTGCGTGACCAGGTCGTCGCCGGCATGGAAATCAAAGTTTCGCGTGTTGTTTCCGACATATTCCTATGGCTTGCCCAAGTGCAGACGCTCATTCGCCTGTTTCCACGCCACAAAGAAAAGGTCATCATCAAATGGGTCGGTTTCGCCCTTATCCTCCTCGACATCTTATTCAGCTGCCTCAACAGCTTTGGTCCCTACGAGAATTCTCGCCGCCCCGCACATTTCGACACTGCCATTCCCGCCCTGAGTTACCTGTTCCAACTATCGCTAAGCATGCTCTATGCCGCCTGGGTCATGTACTACGCTATTACCAAGAGACGATATGCTTTTTACCACTCGATGATGTGGAACATGAGCGTCATCGCACTTGTATCCATTATTGCTATCCTAACACCAGTCGTTTTCTTCATTACCGATATCGCAAACTACACCATTGCCGGATGGGGAGACTACTTTCGCTGGGTGGGGGCTGCCGCTGCTAGTGTTATTGTTTGGGAATGGGTTGAAAGAATTGAAGCTCTGGAAAGAGAAGAGAGAAAAGATGGAATTTTGGGAAGAGAAATTTACGATGGAGACGACATGCTGGACAACAGTCCATCCGATCACAGCTGGCCATCGAAGCGCAAACATCAGCAATCAGAAAAATCCAACCAACAAAACGGCCACCGAGGAGACAACAAAGGTGCAAGTGGGGGTTTTGGTGTTTTTACATCAGCTCATGCCGCTCGTTTCAACACCTTTGCACAGAAATTTGGACGAAAGATGACGGAATCGCCACGAGCAGAAGCACGCAAAAGACGCACTATTCACATTCCTGCCCCACCTCCGGTTGCGCGACGCTCAGCATCTACAACACGCGCAGACCGTAGCTCGCGCTCCTACGTCCGGGTACATACTCCACCTCCAGTACCCGTCATCTCTTCGCCCGTTAGCAGGACAGACACTACCAGCGCCGACTCAACAGTTTATACGGTACGCTATCATCCTATCAGTGACACACCACCACTACCCCACCCTGCACCCGCAGACCGCCGGATAGCAGATTACGAGGCGCAACAACAACCACAACCACAACCACAACCACAACCGCAACCACAAGAACAAAAACCGCTACCAAGTCAACCAGCCGACCTGGAAGATCCCGAAAAGGGTGCCGAAATTGAAGAAGCCAGTATCACTGCCAACAAAGGCAAGTGGCAGTGGCAGGCACTCGGCAATGCCTTCCGCAGGAATGGAAAGACACCACCTCGGGAGCTGCAAAGAGGCCAGGTGATTGAGCCACTTGGAGTTGACGATGTGGCTGCAAACATACCACCACGCACCTACAACGGACTAGCTCTGGGAGATCGACTCGGCACGTTTGCCGCACAGCAAAGCGAGAAGCTAAGGTCCAGAAAGAAGAATGGGTCGCAACAGGACATGCAGCTACCTGTGACGATTATCCCTGCACAACCTCGTGGACAGACTTGGTCTCCAGACATTATCCGTCAGCAACAACAAGAAGCTCAGCAAGAGGAAGCGTTTACCAGCGCAGGCACCCAGCTTGGACGGCCAGCGACAACCGCAGACATAGAAGCGACTGATTCGAGTGAAATTGCGCATCTCTCGACGTCATCACCACATTCTCAACACAATCCTCGGATTCGATTCTCGCCAGGAATCCTGCATGAGCAGCAGCAACAGCAGCAGAGCAGTGGTGGCACCCTAGGAATGCAGGTACGACAGCCATTGTCTACACCGGCGACGGGGTTGGCACAAGATGAAAGCACATCGGTTGTTGACTTTAGCGTGCCTCGGCAGCCCAGCCGGACGGACCATGAAAGGTAGCCGTGAAGAAGAGATGTGGTGTGTTGTATGTTTGTGTTTATATTTGTCATGTTGATAGCACGTATATACCCCCTTATGTTGGATTGGCGTATTTTGGAGGACGAGTAGTGGTTGGGTGATACCACGCAGCATTGGCATAGGACGGCGCAGTGGGAACTTCAAAAAAGGAATCATTTGGTGTTTGTTATGGGGATTGGATACCCGCCGACTGTGAGGTCAGGCTCTTTTTCTTTATTTATTTTGGAGGAATGGCGCATTGTTATATATTGTAGGTTGTGTATGTGCAACTAGTGTTGTTGTTGTTGTTGTTGTTGTTGGATGAGCGGCTAAAAGGCACGCCACTTGCAATACAAAGACTTTTTTCACCAGTGCAGACGTGTCATATTGGCAATGGATGAATGAGTGGATGGGTGAATAATGAAGCAAAGGCGGGGGCCAAGAGAGGGCGATAAGGCTGGGGGGGGTTCGGTAGAGCTTGGGCCGGGGTGGGTGGTGGAGGCGTCGTGGGTTCCTTGCAAGGCCGCATCATAGCTCCATGTTATCATGGCGCGTGGGCGGCTGCAGCTACTGCATAGAAACTAAACTGCGACCCAGCAGCCTCCGCCTCATATCGACCGCGCGCAGCCTGACGGAAGACAGTCGCCCAGCGCCTCTTCCTCTGACCCATCATGTCTCTCTTTGGCGACGATGACAGCAACACGCCGCCGCGCCCAGGACAATCGTCGTCGCTCTTCGATGACGATCCCAAGCCCGCGGGCAGGCCGGGCAACAGCTTGTTTGCAGACGACCTCGGTGACAACGACTCGCCCTGGGCATTCCCCACGCCCAAGAAAGCTGGCCGCGAGGCGCTCGTGAGGTCGCTGCTCCCGCCCACAGACGTGCCCGACTCGTATATTGATGCATTCGACGCCCTGCTCGACGCCGGCCATGGCCACGGCAACGGCGTCAGTCCTGAGGGTGTGAAGCAGTTGCTGGTAAACAGTGGCATTCCCACCCACGCCCAATCCAAGATTCTCGAGATTGTGCTGCCCGCCGGTGGAAGCGCCGAGCTGGGGAGAAACGAGTTCAATGTTGTCTTTGCCTTGATTGGGCTGGCCCAGGAGCACGAGGACATCACCCTCGACAGCGTCGACGAGAGAAAACGGAGTGAGTGTTAGCAGGAATCGTCGCCGTGCATACGCCTGCAGCCCACCAGTACTGACCCAGTGCCAGATCTCCCCGTACCCACTGTATCCCTTCCTCAATCCGCAAAGGCCCGCGACTCGTCGCCTGCTCCCGCTCCTGCCTCTGCATCGACCTCTGCATCCACTGCTCCTCCTCCACCACCACCGCAGGACCCCCATCCCCCAACCCCTCTAGCTCCTCAGCGCCAGCCGACCCAGCAACAACAATCGCCTGCTGCAAACAAGTCAAGTGCGCCCATGCGCAAGCAATCTTTCGGAGACCCGGAGGCGGATCCGTGGGGCAGCCCTGACCTGCACAGAGGCCATAGCCACGCCAACTACACCACTATACAACACCAGACCAACGGCTCCAGCATTCACACCAGAGGCCGCACCACCAGCCAGTTCACCACCCACTCGACCACCGAGTCGGCAAATCCCCAACCTGTCCAGCCCAGCTCTTTGGGCAGCGAAGGTGGTTGGGGAGGATACAATGGTGGTGCAAACCAACCCTATGCTGCCCCGACTATGGGAGATGGAGGCTTTGGCGCTCCTACGCATCGAGAAGGCGCATCTAATGCGCCACCGGAGCTGGGTACGTCAATTGGTCGATTGCCCGGCGCGTCTGGAAACGACGAAGTAATCACCATCACTGCCCTCTCGGAGAAAGAGGGCGTCTTCATGTTCCAGCACCGCAACTATGAAGTGGCCAGCTCGCGGCGCACAACAAAGGTCGTCCGTCGATACAGCGATTTCGTCTGGTTATTAGACTGCTTGCACAAGCGGTATCCGTTCCGACAATTGCCATTGTTGCCCCCAAAGAGGGTTGGCAGTAAGTTGTCTCCCTTCCCATTGTCTTCATGAATATTGAGAGTTCTTAGTCAACGGCAACCCAATAGCCGCCGATGCCACCTTCCTCGAGAAGCGAAGAAAGGGTCTGGCACGATTCACAAACGCCCTTGTGCGCCATCCGGTCCTCAACCAAGAACAATTGGTTGTCATGTTCCTGACTGTGCCTACGGTAGGTTAAACTAGCACCAACATGATCTAGATTGTACTGACGAGAAGCAGGAACTTGCGGTATGGCGTAAGCAAGCCAATCTCTCTGTACAGGAAGAGTTCACCGGCAAACCCCTTCCTCCGGATCTCGAAGATTCCCTACCAAAGACTCTGCCTGAACTCTTCGACACGGTTAGGTCAGGCGTACGACGTAGCGCTGAATCTTACATTGCGCTTTGCAGCATGATGGAACGCCTCTGCCGCCGAAATGAAGGCATAGCAGCCGAGCACCTGCGCGTCTCTTCGGCACTCAGCGGCCTGACAGAAGCAAGTCACGACACATATGCTGTGGATACCAACGACGTACCCTTACTGAACGAAGGTCTAAACGCTACAGCACGGCATCTCGATTCGAGTAAACAGCTACTCGAAGACGAAGCAAGAGGCTGGGAAGAAGGCGTCTTGGAAGACCTCAAGCGCCAAAGAGACACCCTCGTCAGCGTAAGAGACATGTTTGACCGACGAGACAAGTACGCCAAAGACAACATTCCCCAACTGGAACGCCGAATCGTTAGCAATGAGGCCAAACTCAACAATATCCGCAACAAACCCGACGCCAAGCCCGGCGAGGCGGAAAAGGTCGAAGAGGCCATTTTCAAGGTTTGTTATTTTCCTCTCTCTCTCCTTATCACATCTAAAGTTTGTTGTAAGTACGAAAAAGGGCTAACTTTGATGTTTAGGACAAGGAATCTATTGTCCAACAACACGCCCGCGGCGTCTTCATCCGCGAATGCATCCGCGACGAACTCCTCTTCTTCCAGAAATCCCAGTACCACATTAGTCGTCTCCACCAGGAGTGGGCGCAGGAACGAGTCAAGTATGCTGAACTCCAGGCGGATAACTGGCGTGCGCTTAGTGAAGAGGTGGAGGATATGCCTTCGGCTGAGTAGAGTCCATAAAAAAGGGCTCCTCACTTTTTCCTGTCTGTCTGGCTGTTGTTGTTGTTTGTCTAGTAAGAGAAGCATGTCAAGTTGGGTGAATACAGCTGGGTGAAATGGGATACACGAGATATATGAGACAGAGAATGAGGTACAAGGATGAACGGTTGTCTTTTTTTTTGCCTTTTTGCTTTTATAGGGAGGAGTGTTGTCTGTGAAGCAAGTAATGAGGACAGCGAGCGAGAGTGAGATGGAGGCGAGGGGGTTTACACGTGTACTTGAACTTGTTTGATACCACGATGAAAGAGAAAGAGAAGGGGGAATTAGGACCCACGTTTCCTATGCTACGGTTTCTCTCTCTCTCTCTCTGTCTCTCTGTTTTCTCGCAAATTTGTACATGGTTTCTCTCTCTCTTTTTTTCTTTCTTTGTTATATATGCATATATGTCATCTCTCTCCAGTACCAACTAGTACGTAGTTAGTTCGCTTTCCCACTCTCTCCATATTGGTCATTTGCATTTTTTTTCTTTCGGAATGGCATAATTCAGGTCCTTTGTCTACTTATCTTGTCAGTGGGTATAAATTGGATTGTGTGTCCGCTTGGGTGTGTTTGAATGGACTAGATGTGTTATAAGGCCGTTCTTGTCTTGTTAGTTGTACTAGCACAACAAGTTCAAAGAGTAAAGCTTGCGGATTGAGCATTTGGATTGTCGGTTATGCAAAGAACCGGAGAGCACATGCATGCAAGGAAGAAACATGTCCGACACAGCACACACAGAGAGAGAGGGAGAGGGAGAGAGAGAAAGTCAAAACATCAAGTTTCCATTGTCAGAAACCGCCGTTTCGTCGCCTTCCCTCGACACACACATAGCAAGTAAAAAAAAGCTATCATTTTCAGCTCTTGTTTCCTATCTTGCCTCGCGTCCCCCCCATGCTAAATCCATCCACCCCTCTTCTTCTTTTTTCCCGTAGTTGCAAGTGAAAAAGAAAAGAAAAGATCCGGGGGTCCCGAGGTGGCCATTTCGTATCGTCAAGTAATCATCTCGTCAAGTTTGTGCGCCGCCCCTACTCCGGTTCGATTTCCGTTTGAATAAAGGGTAAGGGAATTTATCGGTGCTGTAAGTCTGTTAGCCTCTTTGCCTCCTTCCATGCGCAAACAACCTCGTAGTAGACACGATCGTTCGTCTGCCAGGCTGTTGTAAGAGCGTAGTGAAAATAGAAACGTACCTTGACAAAGCCAATGTCGGCGCTCTTCTCACGGAAGCACTGACGGCAGATGTTGAGGCCGTACTTGCGGATCAGACCAGCAGGGTGCGTGCAAACGCGGCTGTTGAGTACTGTGTTAGCCTTTGCCTATAAAGTAACGCCTTTTCCTTATTTTCCTGCAACGTCCAATCGCCCGTTTTCCTGCGCTGCCCCTGCGCCCATCATGGTACGCAAAAGGCCCGCCTTCCCTATTCCTCCACATGGACTAGAATGGGTATGTATGTAGACATGGATGCGGACGGAGGTATATAAAGAGGGGGCGACGTACCACTCGCGAGAGCCCTTGCCGTAGGTCCTAGGGCGGGAGTACCAGACCGACTCGTGAGACATGATGTGTGGTTGAAGGGCGGGTTGGGCGGGTAAGTCCTGGTGTGCTGCCTGAAATCAGTCTTTTGTTCTTGCGCACAGATTGACTGCTTTTACGGCGTCGGATATGGGGCTGCAACTCACAGTATTGACGATTGTCGGCGGTGTTAGACGGGCTTGCTGTAGGCTTGACGAAGTTCCTCGATGGGCGGTCGATGCCGATAATTCGCGTATTGTGTGTGATGGCCCGTGCGAGGCGCTAACGCTGGCGCACAGGTTTCCATTGCGTTCGTTGGGGTGTGCCAAGAGATTGCTGGATTCTGTTCCCCATCTCCCCCAACATGTCCTATGGAGAAGCTTAATGAGCATGCGGTGAGGTACAAAAGCTCCCTGTGCATTGAGAGTCGTTGCACAGACTTGCTTGGTCATTAAATTCATGTTAGGTAGAGGTGAAGTAGAAACAACGTCGCAGATGATGAATTCACAAAAGGCCGCCAGTCCCAGACCCGTACCATACTACCCATCGTGATAACGCCGAAGCGCCTTGCTGTAATCGTGGCCTTGGTATGTAAGAAGAAGAGCGGAGCTCCGAAACCTGCTTCACAATCATAAAGTAAACAACTAAATCCAGGCATCTCGCCCATATCAAAACACTCAGTCGCCGAGAATACTCTCTTCGCCATCCCTCTCTGCCGCATCGTCACCATTCTCCTCCGCATCCTGTACACCATTTGTCTGCTCCTCATCGCCATCGGCCATTTCCTCGTCCTCAATCTCGTCTCCGGGTACTTCATTCTCAGCGTCTTGTTCTTCGTCTTCATCGCTGTCCACTTCAACAACCTCTTTGCTTTTGGCTGGCTTGGCAGTGTCCTTAGTTGCCTTTGTACCCTTCTTGGTCACTTTGCGTTGCTTGACTGCGTCGAGATGATTTACAACCTCCCTCCATGTAGGCGTGAGCTTTGTCTTGTTACGCTCTAGACGCTTGCGCACTGTGCCTGAACCGTCGCCATCAAGTGCACCAACAAGCACAGCATGTACGATGCGCCCACCGAACGCATCGAGCGATTGCTCAGCCAGAATGGCACGCACTTGCTTGTCGGATACTGCGCCCTCGTCCGCAGCATCATCTTCGTCACTTTCCGGTTCGTCGTCAGGGTCGATTGGGTCATCGTCAACATCTGGTTCCTCAAGACGCTTGTTGGTAAGTTTGGCCAGGTGGTTTTCCCATGCCGTAAGAATCTGCAAGATGAGCTTTGTTGTGTTGCTGTCGATGTCTCGGCATAGAGCCTCCCAATCGTCATTGGCGTTATTTGATGCGCGGCCTTGTGTCTTTTTAGGCGTCCTTGTCGCCTTGCCCTTTTTGACCCGTAGTGTACAGAACATGGTGTAAATGTCTAACAGGAGATTCGCTGCGTCGAGTCGTACTTCATCTGTGCCTTTCCGGCTCTCCACAATCCTCATCAAGGTCGTGACACAAGTGTCCCTCCTTTCCACAAGCGCCATGAGCTCGTCGTCAGGTATGCTGGTGCCTTCTTCAACGTGTGTGGTACACTCCCGGCATTTCCACATAAAATACATGAGCATAATAGACATTGCGTGACGGACAAGAGTATCGTCTGCCTCTTCAATCTCTGCATCCAGCTCCTCAACTGGAACACCTCGCTCAAGGATTTGCAACACTGAGTCAATTGGCGGTGTGTCCAACGCCGCCTTCTTGCCTCTGCCTTTTGGCTTTGCAGGAGCAACAATATGGTCCAGCACAGAAGCATCTGAAACAGTCACCAGTTGTGCCATCTTTAGTACGACGTTGGAAACGCCGCGGAGAACATTTTGATCCAAGTTGCCTCGTGTAGAAAAGTCCTTGCCTCTACGAAGGGCATCAAATGTGTTGATCAGGTCATCCCAGAGTGCTTGCACCTTGAGATCAACCGTCTCTCTGAGTTCCTCGCTGCCCTGTGCATGTAGAATGGATCCGATAGCTTCACCAAGCACACGCTCGTTGTGATGAGTAAGGAATTGCTTGTTGATGTCGTCAAGTAACGCAGTAAGGGCTGCATTTTGCCGGAGTTCCTCAAAGACATCCAGATTCAGCTCACGCTCCAATCGGAGACATAGCGCAGCAGCCTCGGGAAGAGCCCCGAATTTCTTCAAAAGTTGAGGGATAAGTAATGATAGTCGTCGAGCCATATCTGCTTGGTCCTCTTGCTCGCTTTCACGTTGCGTCTTGGTCTTCTTCTTGTCCTTGGATACCTCTGCAAGGCGCTGAAGCCGGATGCGTACTACTGAGTTGAGAATGTCCAAGAGAACAGTCTCGTGTTTCTCCTCGAGCTGGCAGGTTTGGCGAAGCATGATTTCTGGATCCTCACTGTCTCCTTGAACAGTCTGGGAATGGTCGTAGAGGAGGTAACCAGCCAAAACCTCCCATGACCGAATCTCCGGAATGGCATCGTAGAGAGCTTGAGCAGCGAGCGAAACGCGCGATTCCACACCAGCAGCAATCAACCCCAGCTCCGTACCAGGAGACATGCGCTGGATTTGCGAGGGCAGCTCAATTTCGTCTTCGTCGTATGAGAGCAACTGATCAACTAAACACTTGAGCTTGAGCCACTCGAGTCGTGGGTTGTGATATTCTTCCTCTTCTTCGTCAGGTGGAGCCAATGCTTCATTTAACGCTTCTTCGCCTCCCATATCTTCTACGGTCGCTTCATATGCAGCATTAACATTCTCGGCGAAAAAGCCAGCCACAGACTTGCGAACCTTTGCATCAGAGTCGAAGATGAGCTTGCCAACCGAATCAATATCATCGGGCTCAAGGAAGCCGGCCTCACGAAGGATGTCGAGTAAGTCGACTGCCGCAGCACGCACGTTGATTTCCGCATCGTGAGTAGCCATTTCGACAATACGTGGTCGGAAGCGCTCGGTAAACGTCTTCAAGCCGGCCAGCTTGCTCTCATCCCGGAACAAGCGTGCAAGTTGGTGCAGCACTTCGATTCGTGTGGATGGATTTGGATCTGAAAGCACCCAACCCAGATAGCGGAGTTTGGTGCCGTCAAAAAACTTGTCGGGATATGCGATGATCCAATCTGCCAGCGCTACCACGCTATCGACTCTGATTTTAGGATCGACGTCCCGGTAACGATGAACGTAGACGGCAGCGAACCAGTCATCCAACTGGCCCCCGACATATTCTAGCTTCTGATTGTACTCGTCGATTTCCTTTTCCGCTGCAGCCACACGTTCTTTGTTCACTCTTGACTTTTTGGCTTCTGCTTCGCTCTGGCGGACGCGCTTAGCCGTATTCTCGACCAGGTCTGCCGCAACTTGTGCCAGGGCGGTTGTGATGGCTAGCGAGGCGACTGTGCTTGTATGCCGGAATGGACGATTACCGGTGGAGGACATGGCGCCCAGCCAGACGGAAATGTTTTCTAAAATCTCCACGCTCTCGTACATGAGGCCTGATTCTGCAATGGTTTGTATGAGGGTCATAAAGAAGCCTTGCAGCGCGTTTCTGAAGGCATTGCCACCGCCATCTTTTGCCTTTGCAATTAGAGGGTATTCAGTAACCTCGTACTGGTTCTTGTTAGTATGCACCGGGCTGCATGAAGCCGTCTGGACCCACCTGCTGGAATTCCTCTTGAATCTCGGCTACGCGATTGGGCGCGTTATCAGGGTCGCCTATGTCGTCCTCGTTTATCCGCAAATCGCAGCCTGAAGCTTGGAAGACTAGATTTACGATTTCGGCCACAGCTTTGGCCTCATGTTCATTGAACCGGGCTATCCACTGAGCGGTCACGTCTTCGAGCCGGTCTCCGCTAGCGAACACGTCGGCTATGGCGCGTTAGCTTGTGCAGACTCCATGCCGCGCCTGCAAACATACCGTATAGGCCTTCGGTCTCCTCTGGCAGGGTGCTCTTGCGTACAGGCGCTTTTCGGGGTCGTTTGGCAAGCTTCTTTGTCGCGTTGCTGGCGGGACGGATGGCCAGACCGAGGCTGTCGCCATTGGTCTTTGGCTTCTTAGCTGCTGGCTTACGGGCAGCAGCTTTGGTCTTCCTCTTGCGCCTGCGCTCCTTGATTTCCTCATCATCCGGCTCGTCCTCAGTGCTCTGGTCTGACTCTTGTTCGGAAGAGTCGCTCGCGTCTACTGCATTGTCATTGTCGTTGCCGCGCTTCCGCTTGGTGGTGGTGGTTGGGCTCGCGCCTGGCGCGAACCTGTCTGGTTTTCTGGATACGCGTCCAGACTTGCGCCGCGTGGCAGTAGATTCGACCTGGTCGACCCCTGAGGGCGATGCCGGCGCGCTCATGGTGGTCGCGCGCGTGAGTATATGGTGCGAGGAAAAGTGGCGTTGCAGTCGAGGAATGTGGCGCGACAATTGCGGTCGATGGGGTGGAGGCGGGGACAGCAATGGGAGACGCGTTGTATAGTCCGAGCACTTTTAGTCCCAGGTTCAGCGCACGTGCATGACGCTGCACCAGCGTCGACTACTATTCGCTTGCACGCTGTATAGACGCCTTTGACTGATCATTGTATTCGTTCTCTACAGATGCCATCAAGGCGTCATGGCTGCTTTGGTTTCTCTAGAGCAAACGACCGCCTTGCACCAAGTTTGATTGTTGTCCGGGGTTACCGACTGTGTGTCCTGCAAAGACATGGCCGGACAGTACGTAGGACATGCTTGCAGATTTTCATAGTCCATCGTCTTTTGGATAGATTACACTACCGACGATTGAGTGCAAAGTTGCAGCCCTGTCTATCAAATGATTCGCACCACATTTCAATATACAGTTGTAAGCCTGCAGCTGCGTGCATAAGCAGTGCAGTCAACGTGCCGGAGGTACCGTTTGTTATCGATACGTCACTTACGGAAGCGCTTCGGACGTAGGTGCAGCTACAGCTCCGTAACCTTCACTCTCATCACGCCCGCCCAATGTCAGCCAATTCAAGCGCGCTGAAACGGAAGCACTCGGGCAAGACCATCAAGGAGCTCTTCATCACCCACTCCAAGCCAAACCTTGCCTCGGCAGCTCCGTTATCGCCCACAAGCAAGCGCACACGACGAGACAGTTCGCCCATAGAGAGCACAGAGGTTGCCACTCCGCCCTCTTTGATAAGCAGTATGGATGCGGCCGATATGTACAGCTTTCCCAGCAAGAAGGCAGGCATATCTAGTAATGCAAATGTCGTTCACATCGCCTCGAGCCCTGAGAACAGCCCTGCGAAGACGAGCGGCCAACGCAATGGAACGCGCAAGGCAGCACCCAACTTGCATGGCAATAGCGGCCCCAAGCGACTGGTGGTGAAGAATTTCAAGCCGATTAGAAAGGTGGACCCCCGTGCTTTTCTGGACCAGACATGGCAGAAGGTCGAAAAGGCCCTTGACACCATCTTTGACCAAGGCGACATTGACTTTAGTCTGGAGGAGCTGTACCGCGGCGTAGAAAATGTCTGTCGACAGGACATGGCCAGGGACATCAAAGAACGTCTAACCACCAAGTGCCGAGATTACGTGCGAGGCAGTTTAGAGGCAAAGGTAAAAGACAACCTGGGTAAAACTAGTGTTGATGTACTGCGGACGACGCTACATGCTTGGGCACTATGGAACAATCAGATGGTAAGTCGGGCACACAGGAATCCATGCCACCAAACTGACAGACTGCAGAAATACCTAGATTGGATCTTTTGCTACCTCGACCGAGCCTACCTCCTCCCACGTCACGAATCCCTTCGCGACATCTGCATTAGCCTTTTCCGCTCAATCGTCTTTGAAAATGACAAACTAAACCCTCGCATTGTTGATGGTGCCTGCGATCTGGTAGCAACTGATCGGACGGGCGGCGATCTGGACAGCGAGATGTTCTCCAAGACAGTCAATATGTTCCACGACATGCAAGTCTACACACGGCACTTTGAGCCGCGCTTGATGGAACTCAGTCAGGAATACATAGTGAAATGGGCAGACACGGAGAGTGCAGAGAAGTCCTTGCCCGAGTATGTGCGCAATTCGAGGGCGCTCATGGACCGTGAGATGAAGAGGGTAGAGATGTTTAGCCTTCCAAACACAACCAAGCGAGAGCTTCTTACGCTGCTGGAAGATCATTTAATCACGAAGAAAGAGTCTAGATTGACTAATCAAGACGAACTTGCTGACCTCCTGGAAACTAATGCTGTCCAAGATCTCGAGTTGCTATACACACTTCTCGAACGCCGAAAAATGGGCGCACGCCTACGGCCAGGTTTTACAAAGTGGATAGAAGACGAAGGCACAGCTATCGTCTTCAATGAAAAGGAACAAGAGAACATGGTCGTACAACTGCTGTCATTGAAGCGTCAGTTAGATGCCATTTGGAAAACCTCGTTCCATCGAGACGAAGAGCTGGGTCACGGGCTGCGCGAGGCTTTTGACAAGTTCATGAACAAGACAAAGAAGACGAACGCAAGCTGGGGCACAGACAACTCCAAGACGGGCGAGATGATTGCCAAGTACGTCGACATGTTATTGAGAGGAGGTGCCAAGGCGATACCAACACAGTTGAGCCGGAAGTCAGAGAAGCCTGTTGAAGTTGAGCCTGAGGATGACAAGGAAGACCATGTGTTTGATGAAGACACTGAAGTCAACAACCAACTCGACCAGGTTCTCGATCTGTTTCGCTTCTTACATGGCAAGGCTGTTTTTGAGGCCTTTTACAAGAAAGACCTAGCACGACGATTGTTGATGGGCAGAAGCGCTAGTGCGGATGCTGAGAGAAGCATGTTATCAAGACTCAAGATTGGTGAGTTTTCCTCGATAGCAACTTTCATTTGACCTGCATACTAACTCACTATAGAATGTGGTGCTGGCTTCACTGCCAATCTTGAACAAATGTTCCGAGACATCGAACTGTCCCGCGAAGAAATGAGTTCATACAAGAACATTAGCGAGGAACGTAACGAAAAACTCGATCTCGATCTGAACGTAAACATCCTTTCTGCGTCCGCCTGGCCCACCTACCCCACTGTACCCGTCATCCTACCGCCAGAGGTCCAATCTGCTATGAACAAATTCGAAGCGCACTACAAGATCAAACACACTGGCCGCAAGCTTGAGTTCAAGCACGCACTGGCGCATTGTCAAATCAAGGCCAGATTCCCCAAAGGCCTCAAGGAACTGGTAGTCTCGTCATTCCAGGCCATTGTACTATTGCTGTTCAATGGCCGAGGGGATGACGAGCACATTGATTACGAATATCTCAAGCAAGCCACAGGACTACGTGAGTCATACAGCATGATGTTTTAATAGCACGACTAACGATCAGTAGCCCCTGCCGAGCTTAATCGTACATTGCAATCTCTCGCTTGTGCCAAAGTGCGGCCTCTAACGAAGCATCCAAAGGGCCGCGAGATTAGCGAGAGTGATACGTTCACTATCAACTCTTCTTTTACAGATCCCAAGTACCGCATCAAAGTCAACACTGTTCAGCTCAAGGAAACTGCGGCTGAAAACAAGGAAACCCACGAACGTGTTGCTGCGGATCGAAACTATGAGACGCAAGCCGCCATTGTGCGCATCTTGAAGGCAAGAAAGAGAATCAGTCACGCCGAACTAGTCAGTGAGACTATCAAGGCTACAAGAAACAGGGGTACTTTAGAGGTTAGTGGTATCAAGAGGAACATTGATCGGTTGATTGAGAAGGAGTTCTTGGAGAGGGAGGACGATGGATTGTATGCCTACATTGCATAGAACACTTGTAGTATCAGCCAGTACACGAGGATTCTGAATGTTGGGGGGTTGGGTTGGGTTTCGGATCCGTTGTACGAATATGAGTTGTTTTGGGCATACCAAGTTTAGAGTAATCTTTGTTGAACCTGCAATTCGACCGGAAGGTTGGCTTGTTTTTAGCCAAGCGTAGATATTGTGGTCTCCTCTTCGTAATCTTTCTTTATCAATGTTTACGCCTTCGTCAACCGGGTAGCGAGCACTATTGTTGCACAAAGGGCAGTGCAGAAGGTGACTGCAAAGATGGGGAAGACGGGAAGAGGGTCAGGGCTAAAAGGGTCGAGGAATCCAAGAATCGACATAATTTCCCCAACACCACGCATGAACGACTATGGTCTAGGGAAGTGCCAATTTCTCAGCTGGATTGACCGCCAGTTGGTCGAGGACAAATGGGAGAACATTCCGAACCTACCTCGTTTCCGTTGAATTGTGATGTATCGGCCCTCGAGTCTTTGGGACAAGTAGCTTTCTTTTTCTCCATGACAGCCCATGGACATCATCCTCAGGTGCAACAAACCTTCTAGGCGCCTTCTAGGTGCATTCCCAACACCGGTTGCCCCACATAGGCGAGTAGAAGTAGATGCATCGGCAGCCCACCACTCGCTTCTGGCGAGTGACAAAGTCAAAGCGGAGGTACTCTCGCGGTCAAAACGCAGGAAAAGTAACTTGAGGCTAAGGTGACGATTTGGGTCCCAACGGCCTCTTCCGCGGAAACGAAGCTATCCAGCGGCCCGGTCGCCGTGCCTTCCTCGCCTGGTACATGGCTTCTACCCCACAATGCAGGTCAATCTCTCAACCATCGCCCTGTTTGATGCTTCAACTACACACTCGACACCATGCTTACACAGCGACCGACTCCCTGTCCATCTTTTCTTTTTCCATCCGGAAGCAGTCCAAAACAGTCGCCTTGAATTCACGCTTGTCATATTGCACGAACAACTCAACAGTCCGAGCTCGTTGCGGCGGTCAGTCGGCTCACGTAACGGGGATGCAGCTGTCAGTTCAGTTTCAGTTCTATCCAAACCTAGTCGAAGCCACGTGCAAGTCCTGGATACCTGGGCAGCTCAAGTCCTAGTAAGCAAGACACTGCAGTAACGGCTCTCTGTGAGAAACCAAGCTGATTTGCCTTCTCTCCTTCTTCTCTTCTATCCTTTCCATGCGGTGCTACAAGTAAAAACACCTTCTGTTCCAGAGTTGTGACGATCTTCCCGGTTAGCGAGCGAGCGACACCCCTGATGATTGCCTTTTCTTCCATGCGGACGATCCGGTGTATGTCTATTCTAGGCATCTCAACACTCTATTCGCTACCGTACCGCATAGCTTGCTTTGCCAACCACATGCAACGACTTCCATGCGCGGGAGGCCGCGGCAAACCCTAGACACTGACCGCTTGATGAACCATTTTTAGCGGGGAAGCCCACCATATCCACGTTCTAAGCGCATGCATTGCTGCGATTGGTCTGGTCGTTTCGCTGATAGATGGCATGTTCGGCGTTTGTAGAAGATTCTAGGGAGTATTCTACATCCGACAGAATCAAGAGCATGGCTGTGTAGGTATCCCAACGATGCGGAAATCACTGGAAATGAAGCGCTCATTTCTGTTTCTCTGTTATTCTCAACACGAGAATCTGGACCCTCTCATTTTTCATTCCTTCTTCTTGGTCTCGATATCGCCGATTACGTATCCCTCTATGGGATTATTCGGTCACTACAGACGCCATGACCTACCGGTCTTCCAGAGTTGTTTTTACAACACACTCGAGAGGCAGAATTTGATACGTATCATAGCCCCTTGGACGCATTAGCGAGTTCGCAAGATCGGCCTGGGTCTCTATTTTCAGATTGGAAACCTACGTTCCTTCTCTAGAGGCTTTAGTGTTTGATGTTACGTGTGACGGTGCCTATCAAGATTCTCCAGCTGTAGTATAGGGAATTTCACGTAAAGTGATATCCAACTGGATGGAAACCTCACCAGCTCAACTGTGCCTCTTCAGACCACACCTACGGCGACAATCTCCGTCTAATGCATCACAAGCGCTAGCTAATCTGCGCAGTTGTGCGTGTGTGTGTGCGCATGTGCACTTGCTAGATCCTATCGAGCTATGTACTCAACGATCGACGTGCCTGCAGAAACAGAGTCCGGTGTGAACGGAGCTTCTAACGTACAACAAAGCATGAGCAACACTGAAGCACCAATGCACGAGTTTCCATAAAAGAAAAGAAAAAGGGTTAGGAGAGAAGTGAGTATATGAAGCCACCTCGTCTTCTGATTCAAATCCCTCACCTACCAACGACAATCATTTCATCAACACTCATTTACAAATCACACACTCTCTTAATACAACCCGAGTTTCTTATAATATAATAGTACTTCCTTCCTCGCCTTAATCGACAGCTTTCCGTTCAAGATGCGTTTCACAACCATCGTTACGGTCTCGTCCTTTGCCCTTATGGGCAGCGCCGCTCCGGCCAAAGCCCCGGCCACGTCCTCGTCGGCCAGGCTGCCCCTCCCTAGCAGCGCGCCCAAGCTAAACGAGCTGAACAAATCCGTTTCCCCATCCGGTGTCGCCAAGTTGCCTGGTCCTTCTGGTCTACCTACTGTCGACTTCGAGGGCGGCGCGCCACTAAGGGTCCGCAAGCCGGACGACTTGTTCGACGGCATTCTCGACTACGGCAAGGGCGCGCTACAGAAGGAGAAGTCAAAGGATGACAAGAAGGATGACAAGAAGAAGGAAGATGACAAGAAGGAGGAGAAGCCCAAGAAGGAGGAGAAGCCCAAGGAAAACGACGAGGGTGACGACGATGACAACGACGACAAGTCTCCCCAGGGCGGCGAATCCGGCAATGGCGGTGAATCCCAGGAGGGAGGTGCAGGCGGCGAGTCCAACGCCGGTGGCGAGGGCCCTCAGGGTGGCGAAGGTCCTCAGGGTGGTGAAGGTCCTCAGGGCGGCGAGGGTCCTCAGGGCGGCGAAGGTCCTCAGGGCGGCGAGACTCCTTCTGGAGGCGAGGCTACCCAAGAGGGTGGAGAGGCCCCTCAGGAGGGAGGCGAGGCCCAAGAGGGTGCTCAGACTCCCTCTGGCGGTAGCCAGACCCCTTCTAACGGTGAGGCTCCCCAGCAGGGCGGTCAGTCCCAAGAGCACGGTAAGAACTCACTACATTCCCTAGTTCCAGATACGAATACTGACGAGAAATAGGTTCCCATTACAAGCGTCAAGCCGAGGAGTCTTCCAAGGGCCACAAGGGTGGCCACAAGGGCAACGACCATGGCTTCGACTACAAGATCTTCAACAAGCGCCAGAACCACGAGTCTTCCGAGGGTGGTGAGCACAAGGGCAAGGGCAACGACCATGGCTTCGACTACAAGATCTTCAACAAGCGCCAGAACCACGAGTCTTCCAAGGGCGGCAAGCACGACGACGGCTTCGACTATAAGATCTTCAACAAGCGCCAGCTCGAGGGCATCACTGACATTGTCAACCCCAAGAAGGAGGATTCCAAGAAAGATGAGTCTAAGAAGGAGGACTCCAAGAACGAGAGCCAGTCAGAGAATGCCGACCAAGATAACTCCACTAAAGAGAAGAGCCAAGCTACCGAGATCAAGGGAGCGTAAGTACAGCTTTTTTCTCATCTCGTCCCTTCTCCTCGTCATCCCTGCTACTCCCTTTACCCCACTCTTTGCTTACAACCCACTTACCCGCCTCGTCCTCATTTTGGTTTCGAGTAAACGCTTCCCATCCTCTCTTTCTTTTGATCTTCTTCTATCCTCATCCCCTCCTTTCTAATTGAGTTTGTCTATTTTCTCTGGGAGAAGAATACTAACACGCTTATGGGCGCTAGAACACTCAACTTTTGCAATAAGACAAGCGGTCACGGTGGTTGCGAAAAGGTTTGCGGTCTTGCCCAGGCTGAAGGCTTTTGCGAGCAGAACCAGAAGACTGGGTACGTTTCATCACCTTCCCACCCTTTCTAATATTTACTAATACGCCATGCAGTAAGTGGGGCTGTGAGTGCAGGGGTGGAATGAGCGAGGAGTCTGGCGACAACGACAACAAGGACAACAAAGACAAGGATAACCAGGACGGCAACAACGACAATGAGGACGACGAGTGAATCTAGCTTTCTGAGATTTCGTCTTCTTAATGTCTTGAATGAAGGAGTTTGAGCCTGAGGGATATAGATGGCGGGGTATTACTAGGGGAAGATTTTAGACGGTGGTTTGGAGCAGTAAAAAAAAGGAAACATTCATTTGGTGTAAACGTGCGGATATAGACTTTTTTTTTCTTTTTTAAGGGGGATTAGACTTTCGTTTCGTAATGACTATATCATATTTTTGTTTCATAAAAAAAATTACTTTGGACTTGATTATCGTAGTGAGTGGAAAATCTAGGGTGGGATGTTGGTGGAGAGAGATTAAAAAAAAGCTTTGGTGAAGACAAAGAATGCAACTTTGCTTGTCATAACTTGGCCATTATCTCAAGTAAATCTACATTAATTATATTGAGACTTGTAGCTAGAAGCTTAAGGTTCAGCCGTTTCAACCTTTCGATGTTCAAGTCTATCTAATATTTTTTTTCGGTCTTGGGGGGATATGAGAGAAAAACTAGTAAGTTGTGTGTACCCTTTTGTTGCAAAAACGGTCAAAATGTGGAAAAAAAAAAGAAGAAGAAGAGTCGTCTCTACGTCGAAGGAAATTAACACCAGTGATGTATATATATATCATTAAAAAGCTGTGACTTCTGACGTTCATCAGCGTGCAAAAACTTATCATTCAAGTGAATAATGCCGTGTAGAGAGAAAAAAAGGGGGGGCCCACGGCATTCACTCCGCTGCACGCTTAACCCAGCACCAGGCACAGCACCTACGCTTCCCCAAAGACCCCAAGACCACAAGAAGAGACACACATAGAGAGAAAGAGAGGAAACATATATCAATACATCTATCTACCAACCCCCCTACATACTCCAGCAAAAAAAAACCCCCCAAACTCCCAGCTAACCCAAGCACGAAAAGACTAACATTGTACTTGCTTTCAAAAAAAAGAGGGGGGGGAGAGGGGGGAGAGGGAAGGGTATAATACTCTACTTTTTTTCTCTTATCGCCAAAGAAAAACGCATTGAAAAGACAAAGTGGAGCAAAGTTGTGATAACACTAGAAAAAAAAGCGCAGGTTGATGAGAAGAAGATGAACAAGTCTAGAGGTGTGTATCAAAAAAAAGAAAGGAACAGCATGAGGGGAGTGTGTTAGACTCATGCCCCCCAGAAACAAACGTAAAAACCGACATTTCATGTAAATGTCGTGGCGCAAAAATGAACCGACGCGAGCGAGTGCGGGTTGAAGTACAAAACCCATAGAAAAAAGGTTATTACAAAGCTTCAAAAAGAAAAGAAAAGAAGAAAAGAAAACAAAGCCATATCATCGTGTTTATCGCCAAACAAAAAAACCCGAGGGGGAGGGGGAAAGAGATCCGGATCAATCACGTGCCGTACATCCGAACGTACACAGTCGACCCCCTTTAATCCTCCCGAATTTATAATATCATAAAACGCCCCACACATCCAAAGATAGTCGCAAAACGCCCTTACGCAAAAGTCCACTTTTTAGATCAACCCACACGCTCCGAAACACGACCGCGTTCGATCTGCTCAACGCGATCTTTAGAGTCAGTGCGCTTCATGCGGGACCGGGCCAGGGCAGCAGCAGCGGCCGCTTCTTCGTGTTCGCGGGCCAAGCGACGCAGGGCGGCTTTGGCCTCCTCAAGCGGAATGCTATCGCTGCGTTTAGGACTATTCTGGCGCGAAGGGCGTTGACTGGGTGCATTGGAGGTAGGGGTCGAGGGCTGATAGCGGATGCTATTTGCCCGGGTGCTGGCGACACTGAAGCCGTTCTTTGTGCTGCTGGGACGACTGGGGCGGAACTCGGTGCTGACGGATTCTTGGCTGCGGTTGTCGGCATCGCGGGCGGGCGAGTTTCTACGGGAGCGGACGTAGTTTGGGTCGTCGCGCTTGATCATGTGGCGGAACTGCTGCGTTTGGGCGTCGAGGACCCAGCGTTGGTAGCCGGCTGCGCCGTTGGCGTTGCCGGGGATGAAGGCGTCGTGTTCGTCCCAGCACTTGACCCATGCTACGTCGTCGATGCGAAAGAAACCAGCTTGGACTTCTTTGCCTTTGTCGTCTTTGATCATGACCGTCTTCTTCCGCTTGTAGAACTCTGGCTCCAGAAAGTAGCGGCCGAGTGCATGGGAATACTTGAGCGAGATGGGCGTCTCCAAGGGAATATAGTCTTTTCCATCAGATCCCTTGATGGTTGACTTGCTATTGCTCTCTGGCTTGGATGCATCCTTGAGGGTCGCTATCAAGAACCAGCCTCGACCGGGGATGCTCTCGTACTGGCCAGGGACTGGGCTGTTCCACTCTTCAACAACCCTAGATAGGTCGACCTTGCTGGATTTGAACCATTTGTGTGGCAAAAAGGCCTTTTGAGTAGCAACAAAGAGGTTGGGCGCCATTCCAGTGGTGTTTGGCGAAACAGAACAAACGAGGGTCCCGCTTACTGCTGTAAAGTGGTCCTCCGGGGACAGTCGGCGGTAGTAGTGGGTCTTGAATCCGGGGTCGGCAGATGCTCGCAGGCAAAAAAATGGCCTCGTGGAGGAGAATTTGTCTTTTTTTTTCGTAGAGCAGGTTGGCGTGGATTGTAAAATGGCCAGGCGGAATAGTTCAGAGGTCGGGTGAGCCGGAAGGGAGGCAGCGTGATGAGTGGTGTTGACAAAGGGTTGCTGCGACCAGGAGATTTTTGGGTTTGTGTGACGAGCCGAAGACTGCCAATCACTGCGTGCGATGCACGACTGTGTCGCTATGAAGAGCGAGGCAAAGCCTTCGAGCTTGATTCACGTGGGCGTTAAAGGAGGATTCTCGAAACAAAGGCTCTGGGGTGACCAGATATTTGAAGCACGGGAACTAAAATAGTGTTGGCCTGGAAAATCTTTCCCAGGCTCGCGGAAGGAAATTGGGTTGCGCTTCGACCTACCGTGGGTACACCTAGCAAGTGCGGGCCATGGACCGGGGAGCTAATAGTCAGAAAATCGTATGCGCATCTAAGCATGCTGTCCTTTGGTTACGTCGCGCCCCGATTGCAACCGGCAAGATGGGGAGAAAAACCAACGGGGAGTCCCTCGTCATGAGGGCGAGCACTGCCTCAATCAGGTCCTCTCAGTCAGACACGTTGTCCGGTTGTTTCCTTGATGAAACCACGGATGTGCTGATCGCGGTGGTTTGCATGTTCATATCCGAATCCGCATGCGTGCCTACCTGACAACATGCCACATGCGTTCGAATGGAGGGTGGCCTTCGCGCCAATCAGGGCGCCTCGCCGCCAGGCGTGGATGCATCAGGCCAGCCTACGCGATTACCGTGTGGCAGCAATCTGGCAGGGCCCGGAGAGTGTGTGCGCGCGCAATTGTGCAAGGTGGCAGGGCAGGCACAGACAGATGGCGGCTTCATGGGCTTCATGGCGGTGTGGTGCATGCTGGGTTGAGGTGTGCGGATGAGAAAGGAACAGAGTGGGTCGGCATGGCGTCGACTAGTAGAGCGCGGAATCGCATGGCGCGTCCCCGTTAGCGAGCGCCGGCCAGGAGACTCCAGGAAACAAGGAAACACGCGGCGCCTGTCTTTTTGACATACGCAGTAACAAGCCTGCAATGTCATCCCCAGCATTTCACGTCAAACCTTCCGCACGAGACAGGTGGGAGAATGTCGTTCTGAGCTCCCTTCAATTTCCCTTCCGCCTCATGCTATACCGTCCGCCGTCCCCAGCTCTTGTAGCCCTACCAAACAGCCCAGACCCTATAAACAAGACCGAAGCAGCCCAGCGTCGCAAGCCAAAAGCTTGCTTCCCCCAGCCCACGAGGTTAAACTATCCTTTGCTTCTGGAAGCTCCTGCTTCCGGACCTGCGACGCCGCCAAGCCAACCTTCCCAGGGGCATTGCGGCTCTGGCGTTGCCCACCCCTACACCTAACCCCCCAACGACGACTCGCACATGTCATGGCTTTGTTATCGCCAGAACTGCCTTATCAGCATGCATGCAGGCATGTGCACACACACAGTGGTCGTCGCATCTCATCGACTAGGGGGGCGGTGAGGGTGGGTGAGCTGAACAGTCCGAATGTTGCAGTCGTGGCGGTGGTGGTGAGTGTGGATACCAGAGTAAGTAGGTATGCTAATTCAGCCTGCTCCTGTACAGCCTCATGCAGTACAAGCAGCCTGCAAAAATAAATAGACATGGTCGTTTTGATAACGAATATAATTAACACCATACCGTATCGCACCGGCGCGTCTTATGCGCCTCGTGTTTTGGGCGCGGCCAAGAATATCTGACTTGCTTAATGTTTATCAGCCGGAGTCCGACAAGTCTCTGGCTGGCTACAGTCAGCAACACTCATGCAGGGTAATCACAACACACGCGACATGATCGGCGCCTCACCTTGAGCATGTGAAGGAATGCCATGTAGCCAGTATACATCCCAGGCTTGGCGTAGACCGTGCTACATCTCTTCACTCCATTTCCCAAAACAACGCTCGTTAGATGCAGTCTTCTGCGCGAGCGCCAAAGGGAATGCTCAAGGCGTAGCTGAACTGCTTTTAGACTTCTGTCCATGTGTCTCGCCAACACACTGTCCGACCCAAACCCACATCACGCGTCCTACATCACTGCGGAGGAAAAGAATCGTCCTGGTGGTTTTGGCTCGTTTTTCATTGCATTCCTACGGCTTCTGTCCTTTCATGTCCTGGGTCATGCCGCGGTAGCATGTCGCAATGCTTTTTTGAAGTGCATGCTTCTCCTCGTACCGCATCAAAGGGTACTGTGAGCCAAAGAAGATGAAAAGCCTTCCCATTGAGATCGTAACTAATCAGAGAGACGCCTTGTATGCCCCGCCCTAAAGTAAATCCACACACATCTACGACTCGGTCTTGACGCGGGCCTTGCCGTTGGTGACCTTGACACCGAGTTGCTTCGCGCGGGCAATGATGTCGATGCGCTTTCGTGCTGATACGGCGTGGGCGATCCTGCAATTGGTTAGCGGGTCGCGTCGTGCATGGCGTGGCCGGGCCAACGTACTCTGCGGCGAAGGTGCTGTTGTGCATGAGGAGAAGGTCAACATCGGCGACTGAAGTCATTAGCTGGCGTCCAAAATCGCTGCGACAATCGATATGTAGCCTACCGTTGTTAACAACAAAAGCCTTGTGGCCGCTGGGCATCATGTGGCGGGTCTTCTTGTTGGAGCCGTATCCGATCTGTAAATCCTTCCGTCAGCTCCTGTCCTCCAAATATCCCAGCTTGATCCAAAACAGAAAACATCCGCCACAAAAAAATTCCTTCGCAAATCAGTTGATTGAGGCAGTCGTACCTTAGGCATAGCAGCTCGGCCCTTGAACCGCCTGCGGACGGCGTTGTCGATACCCTTGGGCTTGCGCCATGATGGGTCAACGCCTACCCATTGTCAGATCTTGTTCCATCGTTTCCAATTCCCACATGTCTCTTACACTTGAAGCGGTCCGACTGGTGACGGTTGAAGCGCTTGGTGTCTGCAAATGGATACGTCAGTCGCGAAATTTCGAGGTCATCGAGGCAGGTGCCGGCGTACGCTTCTTGACGATCGGGACGTGCTTCTTAGCGGCGACCATCTACATAGAGTCAGTACAGTCGCAGCAATCTATTGTCATGGGATACGCACTTTGACTGCTGTGTGGTTAGTTTGTCGTGAGAAACTGGACGTTGTCGTGATGCAGCGAAAATCAAGCCCGGCACTGTTGGCTCTGCTAAGACGCTAAGCAAACCTAAGCGAGCTGCATCAGCCACACCCAAGTGGCGCAACACCTTCTGCGCCGTTTCCGTCTGGCAAGCCTCATCAAAAATGCATGCATTGTTTAATTGTAGAATCAACACGATGATTATTTTCACCAAATATGTTTCTACGTGATCACTACATGCTGCTAACCAGACTTTACGAATGCATGTGTGCGATGCTGAAGATGAATACTCCATACTCTCTGGACCCACACCTGCAAAGCCCTGCCAATCCCACGACAGCCAAGACGTGGCTCAGTCATCCACACGTTGTGCCATGCTCATCTCCACGTACCCATTGAGAATATGTCTGTGAATTACTCGTATCGAGCGAATCTATCTACTAAAGGATGTTCTGCGGTCACCAAAGTGCTACAAAGACGGATCAAGGGTATGCTATGCTCCCGTGAATGTCGTACCTAGGTTTGAATAAGACCGCCTTCAGATATGCAAGCTGCATTCACCCATCATAGCAAGCCATGTCATATCGTCTACCCCAACTCGCCGCTGCTCGTACCACTAGAAGTTCAAATCGAAGGACCGACGTAAACAACGTGAGAGAGGCTTCAGTACTCCTCATCCATAACCTCCTCCTTGGTATCCCCTCGCTTCTCCTTCTTGACCCATTCGACAAACTCGTCAATGACAGAGGGCCAAGATGACTCCTCACTCCAGAAGCCCATCGACTCGTCGTCAAGGGTGAGCTGTGCAAATTTGAGTGTCTCGTTCCACATATCCTTGTTGACGCTCTTTTTCCACTGAGAGTTAACAAACTCGGTCCACCAGCTCAGCCATGGTGTCTTCTCAGTCGACCACTTCACTGCTGACAACGGTGATCCAAATAGAAGTTCCCAGAATACGACTGCGCTGTCGAGGGCGACTGCTTTCTGACCCTGTGCCCTGGCAAGAGGAAATGTGAACTTGTACACCCGGGTGAAGAGCTCCTTGTTCTTGGGAAGCTCATCCTTTACACTTTGGATGTACATCCTCTGTTTTTCAACGGTGTCGCAGCTATCTTTCAGTTAGAATCTGAATAGCACCTGTCAAACAGATTCTGCCATTTGACTTACTTGCGCTCTGTCCAGCCCTTTACGAAACCTTCACGGCTCATCTCACCCATTGTGGGCGCCTGGATGATTTCAAAAGTAGCTAGAGCATCTAGATCTTCAGCATTGACGCCGATGTCCGCGAAGAACTTCATGGTACCCTCGACTCCAACGACATCTTTGTCCTGGGCATCGGCCTCTCGGTACTTGTCAAATAGCGCGTTGAGAGCAGACTTGGCCGCAGGAGAAGCCTGGGGAGTGCTTCCACCACTGTAGTACCTATTTCATGGCGTTAGTGTCTATAAATCTGAAATAAAGGTTGTGATATTCAAAGTTGCAAATGGAGATAATTAGTAATGGGCGGGGATGAGCTGCACGAACTCTTCCACAGCACATAGAAGGAGCGACAGCATGACAGGAGGATTGTTACTGTCGTTTTTCGCGGTTATAATTTCGGGCTTCCACTTGTTGGAGATACTCCCCTTGATGGCGTTCACAAATGCAACCCTCAATTTCTCGTTCAAAGAGTGGAGAAATGCCACACGTACGCACGATGCCCATGGGAAGTCGCTGCCTGGAGAGGGACCAAATAGCTTGCCAAAGCGGCATGTTTGTTCAGTGTCCAACAGGTCGAGGAACTCTTCGTACGAAAGGCCCGCAGTTATCGGTTCGTTCCACGCCTGTGGTGGAAGCCACCTGACTTTATCGGCAAGATTCAACTGGTGGTAACCGCTGACTTCCTTGTCCCAAATCGATGCATAGGTGCCAAAGTCCTGGCGATTCTGAACTCTCAGAGTATGCTTTTGAAGTGCATATTCTGCTTCTTGGTCATCGAGCTCCTGCATTCTCCCCAAACCACCTCGCAACGACACAACTGGCTGTGGACGCAGATGAAATTCGGATGCAGAAGTCCTGAGAAAGGGAGCTTCTGAAGAGTCAAAAGTTTTCATCAAATCAAGGACCGGTGAACTCGGAAAATAAGTAGCCCGGCAAGGAGCCGTAATGTTACGTATGTTGGAGGACGTAACTGCGGGAATGCCCAAACTCCCATATTCGACATGGTGAGATGATCGAAACAGATCGTGTGAAGTGACAGCAGAATTTGGAAGGCTAAGCGTATTGTACAGCACCTGACTGAGGTGTTCAGCTTGAAGCCTGTGCTGTTCTAGCTGGAGATTGCGTGGCCTAGTGGGCAGTGTGGAGGCAGAATGTGAGGCCGAGCGTCTATTATCTGGCTCAATCCCCCTTTTCCCGGGATCTGAAACAGTGACAGAAGGCCGGGCGGTTTCTTGGAAAGGTTGTTCTTCCTCCACGGGCGGTAGCTCGGCGTTGGGATCTAGAAGCGTTGTCGGACTGCATAGCTCAAGGGTATCACGTGAAGAGGATGTGGAGCGTGAACTCGAACACGAGCCACTCGAGCTGATACGCTGTCGTCGGTTACGCCCTGCAAGCAGTCTGGCCCTGTCCTGCGAGGAACCAAACATGGCGGACTGAGGCGCTTGCTGAAACTACGACAGCTCAATACAATGACGGCCGAAGTGTCTTGCAACCTTTTGTGTTGCTGCAATCGTTGTATATGCCTTGTATGTGGTCGGTTGTTCAGCGCGAAGACAGGTGGAAAAAACCTGCTGGACGATTTGTTGTGGGCTGAGAGCATGTGGAAGGAGGACATAACGTTGCGCATCTGAACCGAGAGAAGTAGCAATCGCGCAAGTTTCATGGAAAGGGCTGTCCATGGTGCAGGAGCACTGTTGTGTGCCATTCCTTCCAAGGGTTGTCGTTTGTGACTACTCCGGCTATGCTTCCAGGAATGGCAATCTTGGTCGTATCTTGGCACTTAGTGGTCCGCATTTGGCTCTCTGTGGCTTCTGATGTGAACAAAGGCCTATGTTCTCTGGGTATATGTGTGGGCCCTTGATGCAATTGCCTGCTGGTGGTTGTGCTACCTCTCTTTGGGTCTGTTGCCACTTTGAACCGACAAATGCAGGGTGGTCGATTTCACATTTGGGTCGAAGCTGCATGTGTGCTGTGTGGTGACCGTGTGTATAGGCGGTTCACAACAACCACGGATGGGGTGGTGGAAAAAGCAAAAGAGAGTTATACATACGCGTTTACGGCGCTCTGGGCGTCCCACCCGTAGCTCTTCAGCGCCCTTATCGCTGAGTTACGGTCGAGCTGAGTGAAGTTCATGAATTGCTGAATAGCAGCCTTTTGCTGGGAACTGTAGACTGCCGGCATTTTGGATTAGCGCGGTAGGTAAGACGGCTGGGTGGTGGTTGCAAGCTTGAGATGGGCAGTGGTGGCCGGGCTGCTCGCAGTGGCAACAGGGGCAGGGCAGAGTCTAGTGCAGAGTCTAGGGATAGAGGAGTAGAAAAAGGGGAAGAGTGCGAGGATCCAGGACGTATAGAGTCCCGGTGGTGCGCCTCGAAATTACAGAACGGGGTTGTATGGTAGGGCTGGCGGGACTTTGGGCAAGCTGGTGACGCAGCGAGTGTCCGACCCCGCCGACAGCCCACCATTGGCCCCTCAGGTCGCAAAGCCACATGCCATGCCTCGGAATTAGGCCCGCAGCAACAGGGTTACTCTGCCCGTCGACCTCTGCCCGCTGCCCGCTGCCCGCTGCCCTCACCACCAACTCTTTCTTGGATCAAACCAGGCCATGGCAAACGGCGTCTTTGGCTTACCTAAATCATTGCCCGATGCAGTACTTTTGCCTTTCCTGACAGCCCTCGTCTTCTTCTCGGAATGGCCCGTGGCTGTGCCGTCATCTGTCGTCTTGCGCTTGGGTGGCATGAGTAGGGCCGGTGTGGCCTTGGCCGTGGGCTGGAGGTTGTCGATGTTGAAGTGGTGAGGGTTCAGAGAGTTGCGCTTTGGTCGGGCACAGGGAAGCTCGTGCGCCTGGTCGATATCTGTGCGCTTGAGGCAGAGCAGCAGTTGACGGGCCAAGCCGCGAACAAGTACCATAAGGAACAGGCCTGGTTAATACTACCGCAAATGGCAAGCGATACTGGCATACCCAGTGTATGGAATGCGACCGACTCTTGCTCTGACAAGTACAGCATTCGTGGTGAAGATGGATGCGTGTTTCCCAATCATCAGGAGCCTCGCTGGCCACCCTGTACTAGTGACGTTGGTGAGTCCTACCAAATAAGTAGTCAAAATGAGCACGTCCGCCTACACAGACTACTAGTGGCCGAGTCGCAAAACTGACGCGGAATCATGTGCGTTGGAAACCCATGCAGAACATCATTCAATCCCCAACACCAACGTCACAGCATCAGCCCACATTAACCACAGGCTTCCAAAAGCTCACGCACGTTCCAACTTGATAAATTCGTACTCGTAGCCTTCATTGCATATATTCACTCGGTGTCAAGTTGCAGGACAGCAACAAATGCCTAGATTCGTACAATATCCACCCGCGTTCGTTCCCAGAGCTTATGTGCCATAGCCACCCCCTTCTCCCGGTCCGCATCGCTGACGGCAGCAGGCTGAACAACCACCCGTGCATACGTTCCAGCTGCCCGCCGTTTGGCCAATGTGCCAGGGTTGACAATCAGTACAGACTCAACGACCTATCATTTTGTTAGCATATTGCATTACCATACATCCACCAGGTATACATACTTTGACAGTGCCCTGGAGCACACTGGGTGTGATCAGTATGTCAGGCCGTACGTTGAGCATCTCGCCCAGTTTGAGATAGCTAGTGTCTAGCATGGTACCAAGCGGGAGGAACGGACTAGGCATTTGCTCCTCATCTGCCTCTTCTCCTTCTTTCCTTTCACCATTAGCAATATTGCTCTTCATCACCTTTTCCTCAATTGGCGTAGGCATGAATTGCTGCTTCTCTCTCCCAGTAGGCGGAAATAGAGGCAAGAAACTCCGTTGCTCGATCAGGTTGCGAGCACACCGTTCATAAATGTTTGTTGCGCGCGCTTTGCCACCTGCAAGCTCTTCTCTTCGGAGCATATCAAGGTTGTCAAGCGAAGACATGCCTACTGTCATCTCATTCATGCTGACAGTCATGGGGTTCGTGACGCACTGCACCATCTTCCCTGCTGCGCCAAAGCCAAGCTCCTTCTTGATAAACTTGTCCTGTGGGAAAGCAGCATGGTGATGATGTGCATCCCTTAGACTAGGTACCAGGAGAACATTACACGTCGGTACGCGCTTGTTGAAGCTTTGGATGGCGCTCGAGATGTGGTGGCGGAATAGATCAGTCATAGTCGCCTGATCTGGACTCACGCCTGGTGGTGCATCGAAATCTCCCGACCGGATTTGAGGATGCTCTGCGTCGAGAAAGGGACCAATCAGGATGATGGAGTCCGCATACGCTTCTGCAGCCTTATCTAGAAAAGCATGTAGAGGTGCAAAATCAAGGTTTTGCTCGGTTGTGTAGGGTCCAGATGCAATCATCAGAGTCAGAGGTCGGACATTGTCTGGATCAGAGTCGGGCGTGTCAAGGTATCGTGCGTTGATGGCGTCAAGCTCGTCCGGCTTTGTAGCAGGTGGGTTCAGAAGTGGCAGTGAAAGGACCTCGGAGACCACGAAAGAGTCGCCAGATGCATTGGTACCGCGCAGCGCAACAATTTGACCGGGAAAGAAGTTGTATGACTGAAGTCCCTCGATGTTGAGCGGTACGCGACGGCCCGAGCCATGCCGCCGCGAGCCTTCAAGCACAAGTGATGCTGTGTTGAGCTTGCCTTCGCTCGTATCGCACGCTATCCTTCCAACAGCAATAATCTCGCTGGGCGATGCGTAGTTGGGATTGCCAAATGCACTCTCATCGAGACCTGCAGATTCTCTGAAGATATCACGGAACTCGTCAATCCTGTCGTCCAGTACTTCTGATGCTTCGGAAAGCTTCATTGCCATGGTCCGGTACGAGAACTTGGACATGTCTGTGTTGGCCTTGAGTTTGATGCGGGGTTCCTTGGGCTCCTCCGAAGGTGGCTCTGGAATAGCAATATCCCCCTGCATAAACTGTTCTGTAATATCGTTCGCGTTGGTACGAGAGGCGAAGTCAAAGACACTGAGCGATGGTTAGAGGGTGCTTCTGCAGTGTTGCTTGAATGCCTACGGTCCGCCCGAAGTCTCGGCCTTTGGTGTCATGAAGCCTCCCGGTGAGCTCATTTCATGTGCCTTGTTCGCTTTGCCTCCTGGTGTTTGGAAGTTGGCTTTGCGCTTGACAGTGCTGCCATTAACCCCGCTAGGAGCACTTGGGCGTGGTGTATTGGGAACAAGCCCTTCTAGCCTTTTTTCCTCAGTCAGCGTGTTGTAATCTGTAACCTTGCCGTCGCTGAACATACATGTCATACATGTCCCCGCCCTTTGCTCTTGGTGTTGGCTGACCCCGCTTGACTTCGTTTCTTTGCTGTGCCTTGCCTCTGCTTTCTCGCTCCAATGCATCTTGTATAGTCTTCTTAAAATCTTGTGCCGTCTTGACGTCCATTTTGTTTTCTTCTCCCCCCATTTTCATGTTGTACGCCTGCCACTTGAAGTCCAACTCTTCGGGCGAGATGGAGTATAACCGGCACATGGACTGCAATTCGGCGAGAACATCGGCGGGGAATTCATCATCCTTGGTGTCACAGTAGCGCTCAAAGCGCTCGGTGAGTTCTGTCGCTACGTCGTCCATTGTAATGCGGATTGTGGATGGTATGGGGTGCTAGATGCGAAAGCACTTTGCGCGTGGAGACAGGGAAGACGCGTAGTAGACGCGTTGGATCTGGGCTAGAATAGACGTGGTCTAGCCCGGAGGATCAGTATGCAAGGGTCCACTATGTCTCCCGAAAGTTTACCAGCGCTGACCCTATCCTCAACAACCCGACTGTGGTTTCCTTCTTTGCTTCTCAATTCCCTAATAATTCTACAGACTCTTAGTCTCTCAATTTGTGTCCTAAATCTCTCAACATGTCAGCAATGGGCCCATTCGCAGAACCCGCTGAGGGCTGCAAGCCACCCGCAGCCCCGGCCCTGACCGCCGACCAGCAGACCAAATACGACCAGCTCCTTGCCGATGTTCGCACCTGGGATGCGCTGCCCACGACTTTGGCCAATGCCACCGAAACATCTCCCATCACTGACGATGAGCGCATGTGGCTCACCCGCGAATGTCTTCTCCGATATCTCCGTGCTGTAAAGTGGAATGTCCAACAAGCTGCAGAACGCCTACGCTCTTCGCTGGTATGGCGGCGTGAGTACGGCACCGACACCTTCACTGCCGACTACATTTCCGAGGAAAATGCTTCTGGCAAGCAGGTCTTGCTGGGATTCGACAAGGAGGGAAGGCCATGCCTCTACCTATTGCCCCAGAACCAGAACACCAAGGAATCCCCTAAACAGGTCCAACACTTGGTATACATGCTGGAGCGCACTATCGACATTCATCCGCCAGGCCAGGAGGGCCTAGCACTATTGATTGACTTCAAGAACACTGGATCTGGAGGAGTCCCTAGCATGGCCACAGTAAAGCAGGTTCTTTACATCTTGCAGAACCACTACCCCGAGAGACTTGGCAGGGCACTGCTCACAAATGGTAAGCGCTACCTTGGCCAGATTTGACTCGTGTTTACTAAACCTACTATAGTTCCCTGGTTTGTCACTACGTTCCTGAAGCTTATCCAACCCTTCATCGATCCCGTCACCAAATCGAAGATGAAGACGAACGAGCCCCTTCCAAGCCATATCCCCGCTTCTCAGCTCATGAAGGTTTCTGGCGGAGATGTGGACTTCAAATACGACCACTCTGTATACTGGCCTGCTCTTGACAAGCTCGTCACTGAAAGGAGACAGCAAAGGAAAGAGCGGTGGGAGAAGGCTGGCAAGATCATTGGAGAGAGCGAAATCTACTTGTGGGGTGGAGACGAGCCGAGCCTCAACTCTGGAAAGGCCGAAGTGCCAGCAGCGACTGAACAGGCGGAAGCAGCCGCCTCAAAAGATACAGCTACACCTGCCGTGGCTGGAGAGACCAACGGCACTGAGCTAGCTGAAGGTGTTGAGAAGCTCGCCATCAAGGAGGGCGTGCCGGTCAAGGCTGAAGCCTGAGCTTAGGCTTTGTTTCTGAACGCTTGCTTGTTACCTAATCGATAGACATGTATGAAACACGCACACGATAGACTAGGGAGTTCAGGTTCAACGGCCCTGCTTATCCATAGAGTTGGATGATTCACGAAATCAATATTCTTACCTCTATCTATTGACACATCATTGATGGCGATTGTAGGGATGCAAAACCAGGCATTGTTTGGGGGAGTCAAGGCGCTCGTATTATTAATAACTTTACGACTGGATTCTAACAGGATAAGGTTTCGGCATGCAAAGTTGCCGTTTCCGGGTCCATCTCTGCGGTTCAGAGCGAAGCATCACGCTCTTCAGCACAGAGTTTATTGCGAGGATGGCCGTGCTTGAGGAAAAATCGGGATGAATGAGTACGTCGTAGGTGGCTGAGTGGATTAGAGGATTCTTGGGTAGGTAGGAGGCGAGGGGGCTAGGCATGTGTGGATCAGGGCTCAGTGGTATTGTGATTGTGTCACTCTGAGATAGATATTGCAGGATTGTGCTTGTTGGATTCAAAGTGATACATCTTTTGCTTGTCGCTGCAGGTTTATTCAGATCTCGCAGCGACTGCTCATAATTCTTGAATGTGGTGTGGATGATAGGCTCTCTAGTTGCTAAGCATGGTGCATTGCACAGTCGTCAAGACGAGGAGCAAGTCGGAAGAAACAGACATCACAGTGTGCCTGAACTAGTGGAATAGGATAAGTTATATCATACTGACAATCAATCCGAAGACAAGGACAAAGTATGCTTGAATCTGTGAACCGATTCACTATGATAACAAGAAAGTTCCTCTGTACAGTCTTCAAGGAGTCGAAATGCAAACTCACCAGCACAAATCAATGCATACATCTCATCAAAACAAAGATATCTGTTTCTCTTTGTATCAACCGAATTAGATTCGCGAACTTGTACAGACAAGGCATACAGAAAATAAGTTGCTGTCTCTATTCTTGTTCCAATAACACTGAGCAGCAGTGCAACGAAAAATAGCAATTCTGAACAATATTCCACCGTACAAGCAATCCCCCACTTACATTCTCTAGAAGTAAATTATTCTTGCATATCCAGACTCCAAAATACATACCATACGTAGTTAAACCAAGCATTCCTACCTGAACTCTAAAACATAATGTTGAACAAACCACCCAGGAATAACCTGATCCCTGTATTCCAATCCAAGAGAGAAAAAAACAGCCTTGAATCTTCCTCCCCTCGTCGTCATAACACACACACAAAGAAAGAAAAAGCCTCATCATCATTACCACCTTGAAACAAGCCAATAAACTCGCATCACGACATTTGCTGCACCTAACCTCACTACCCCCTCCCCCCCCCCTTTAAAAAAGAAAAAAAAAATCCCGCACATACAAGCGCCATCGCACTCACCTTACCACCATTCCCACTCACAAATTCCCTCGTCATAACACAGCACTTCTGCCTTAGGCGTCCCTCAAAACGACCTTAAACAAACAGGAAAACAGGATAAAACGGCAACTAAAGAAAACCTAGATGAAATCATTTACGAGGGTAGATGACGCGGCCCACTTTACCGAAGCCGCCTCCACCTCCCCCTCTTGCCCGGATATAACCGAGTCATAGCGCTGCATGTTTAAAGTGCTTGTTTTACGGGAATGAAGGGGAGGGAGGGGGTGGGGGAAGATCTAGAACCGTGCGTTTTATAAGGGTGGTTAGTATGCTTGAAGGTGTGTGTGTGTGTGTGTGTGGCTAGACTGGTTCTAGAACTTGGGCCGATATGCGCATACAAGGGGGTTTAGTAACAGGTGTTTTGGTGGTTGACGGGTGGTACATGATGTACGGATGTGAATTCAGAGATGAGAAGAAAGAGAGATTGAGGGGTGAAAAGTGAACGTCAGGGGGAGGGGCATCGAGCCGATTTTGATTCAAGTATTTTGTACATTAAACTTTTTGTTCATGTTGGGGAGGATTTGAGAAGAAAGAAAGGCATGTTGTGGATCAAGCCTTCTTCGCAGCCATCATCTGCCGATAAGCATCAATCATTTTCTGGCGCTCCTCGCCCAACTGCTCTCTCTTGCTTAGACTACCCGCGGAATTCGGTACATTCGCAACCTTCGCACCCGCACCATTCTTGACCTTGAAGATTTCTCTTGGAGTCTTTGTGAATGTTGGAGGAGCATGAACGATATCGTTGAGTCCCTTTCTCTCCTCTCGCTTCTTCTTGAGGGCCTCCCACTCGTCTTCGCTGTCATGTGCGACTTCGCCGACCTTGAGCTTGCGCTTGCCCTTTTTGGCCTTCTTCTTCTTACCGTCTACGGTTCGTTTTGTAGGGAGGTCGGCGGTATGGTCTTCCCACATGGCATCCAGCTCGTCCTCTTCTTCCTCTGCTAGTTCCCTTCGCTCCATTTCCTTTTCGCGTAACCTTGCTTCCTCTTCTCGCCATCCTTTTTGTAGACGCTTGAGTCTCCGTTCGTGTTTGGTGACACGGTGGTCGCTGAGGCCGGCAATCTTCTTGCCAGATTTTGTGATACCTGATAGTGGGAGGGCCTGATCTACACGGGCACGGAAGTCGGCCATGGACTCTCCGGGCTGGATCTTCAATGCCGGGGTTGGCTGTGTTGGCTGCTCGTCGGTCTTTGTGCTCTTTTCCTCCTTGGTCGTATCTGCGGTTGTCGCCGACTGTTGTTCCTTCTTCTGTTTCTTGGGCTTCACGGAGCCATCGTCAAGGCCTGAGCGCTTCTTCTGACCTCCGCTGGAAAAGGCCATGAGGCGCTGAAAGGCCTTGGGAGTGTCGTCTGCGCCATAACCTTCGACTTGGGCTACTTTTCGCTTCTTGGTCTTTGGAGCGCTATTGAATGTGCGAGCTTTGCCGACGGCGAGAGGAGCGGCGTGGAGGGTGGGTGGGAGGTCGAATCTACAGGGTGGTGTTAGGGCTAGTGGGATGGCAGCAGTCGGACGGGTGGGTGACGTACTGCGAGTCGTCGTCTTCGATGCGCCTGTGCTTGTGAGGCATGGCGGGCGGCGGAGGTCGGATAGGATACAGCAACGGGCAGTGGTGGTCGCGGTCGCAAAAAAGTTGGTGACATGGAGCAGGGATGTTTGGGAAAGAAGAGGTGGACCCTGTAATGCTTGGCCTGCTTAGCGAGCTTTACGCGGCTTCAACCCCGCAGTGGGATAGGATTTGGAAGTGTTTTCTGCAGCGTAGCCCAAATCCGGAGTGCAGGAGATTATTGCATGTGGCTTGACGGCCAAATAGCACCGCCCGGCCGGTGTGGCTGACACGACACAGTGGCTCCGAAAGTGCCGCCCATACGCAGACGTGGCTCCCATAGGCCTGCCAGCTCACATCAGCATGCCCAAAATGCCGCAACAATAGGCTTAATCCATAGTCTCGCAACTAATGACATTATCTGGAACCCGTTGCGACAGCCTTCGGTCCGATTGCCTGTCCAGCCCAGCATCAGCACCAGCACCAGCACCACGCCGTCTAGTACCCTCCGCGTATATACTTACTGTGCACACCGACAGCAACGGCATGAGCTCCGGCCATGTCCACTAGCCGAATAAGCTGGACCAACGTGCTCTTCTGTTTCCTATAACTATCCTCATCAGCTGCCCAGCTGCATGCCCACCTGAGGCGCTGCCCTTTGCCCAAGCTGTCTGCAACTCTTGTTTCTATCCACCAATCAGAAGCCCCAAGGAGGTTGCGTGCTTGTACTCGCTCTCACACTGCACAACTCTCGCCCACGGCGTAGCACACGTGCGGAAAGCCTCAACGCATCTGTTCCAAACTCTGGTTGTCTTCCCCACACCGGCTCCCTTGGTCGTTTGCACCCCGTTTCGCGGCTGGTTTGGCTGGTCGCACCTCGTTTCGCAATAAGAAGCTTCCGACACCCCTCCTGTTTCTTGCACCTGCACACACCCACCCACCCCAAACCTCCTTTTGTTTGACTCCAACTCACTGGCACCACCTGGGCGCCACCTGGCCACCGTCAACGGCCGTGGTTCCTGCATCTGGACGCGGCTCTTATCGACAAAGGTGTGGACGTGCATTGTCCCGGTTTACTAGCAGCCTCAAACGCACAGTCGCCGCCATCAATAGTCTGGACCTCGTAGCGGGACGTCTGCAGCGCCATTGCCCAGCTATCGAACAGGAAGGTGTCTTAAAACCTGCATTTTTCCTTCGCAGCCGCAAAGTGCTTTTAGACGCACCTTGTCCCCTCGATTGCTGCTCCAAACCACGACGACGACGAATAACCAACAAGGGCGCTGCATAGTCGCTTCCAGTTGCATTTGCCCCACGCTCAGGGTCCAGTTGACAGATCTTGTGAGATCCCCGCTGCCAATTGGCTCGTGCCTGACATGTCGGCAACATCACGACCACTCACCACCCAGCCCCTCCTGCGCCACGCCTCTCCCAGCCCAGCCCCTTCCTTCGCCAAGCAGTCGTCACCACCCTATCCCGTGCACGACCTCGAGGATGGAGATGGTGCAGAGTATAGCTCGGACGAAGACGACGACATAGTACCCCGACGACGACCGACTTTTTGGCAACGTCTGAGAATGAGCATCCGGAGACGGAATGGAAAGCCCTGCGCCAATGATGACTTTGGCCTCGTGCGATTACCAGACGAAAAGAAGCAGCCCTCCAGATACCGATTCCAAAAGAAGCATGCTGTCAGAGCCTTTGCTGTCATCCCGCTATTGGTAATCATCTTCTTGTAAGTGTCCGTCGTGCACGTCTCGCTTGACGACAGAACCCCGCATTCCCTCGTGACCAAAGACCCAACAAGCTAACTTTCGTAGTGGCGTCCTTCACATCGTCAATGTGCTACTAGGATATATTCCCGTGTTCCTCGACGACCATGCACTACCGGGCTTGGATTGGAATCAATACGACGAGGCACAACGATTGGATATTACACGTGACGTAACGCCTGTACCATGTCATTCACACAACGACTACTGGCGCCGAGTCCCACTCTACGACGCCCTCTATTGGGGCTGCA